GTGCAAGTTAGAAAAGCATATGTCACAGAGACTTTAGACAGGGATGAATCCAGTAAAAAGCATCATAAAAGCCCCACTAAAGCACCTGATCTATAAGATGTGGAACGAGCTCGGTCCAACTAAGGCACTACCTCTTCAGGTCATATCCAGGGCTTGGGATGGGAACACACTGGGTTTAAATTAAAGTGCTGTTTTGTTTTGTTTCCTAATGTCTGTAAGCAGCCATTATTGCTTGTGGTATGGAGTGAGCAGCTCCACGTATGTTTGATCTGTTATATTCAAGTACCTATATTGAAGTCCAGTACTCAAATAAAATTCCTGTGAATTGATTTTGCTGAAGGTCTTGCTGAAATGCTGGTTCAAAAGCATAAGCCCAACAAGATTTCTGCCACACACGAAAAATATTTCTTCTCATTACAAATATACTATGTGTTAAGTTATAGAGGAGCTATTATTTTTAATTATCAGAATACACACATATCAACATAAACACATATTTGTGTACACACATATGAGAGTGAAAAATAGTAATCAGTCAAAAGCATTCTGTTTTCTCTCACAAAAATACATATTAAAATCTCTAGGGTTGACATAAAGCATGGTAAATGTTGTTCCCAAAAACTTCTTTCCAGGAAATTAATATTGTATACTGCTAACAGGTTTATAAATTGAAGTGCTATCATGATGCTATCATGAAAAATCCTAAGAGCTAAAAAGAATCTATTACTTATTCATAGAGAGGCATAAACGTGCATGAACAATACTTATTTATCTTTCATCTGTGTATGTGTCTACAAGCTTGCATGCATCTCTGTGGTTTGATTTTTTTTTTCCTTATTAAAAATGAAGGATACAAAATAAAACATTTAACACTTTTAAAATGCATGGGCAGGACTGTAATCCAATTATGCAGCCAACCAAGTTCAAGTGTTACTGCCTTCTGGAGGAAATTATGGTTTTTCTGTGTAGAATATTATAATTGTATCTAGTTGACTATTCCTGTTTCACAGTCCTTGAGAACTCCTCTGAGAATTCAGCCCTGAGCAGTTCAGATAGTCAGTCAGGTACTCAGAGTCTTCATATATCTTCACTTTATTTTCACTTCTTAAAGTGGCTTTTTTTCAGTATTGATCCATTTCAGATTTTAACAATGCAGTGAACTATGATAAGTCATGCATACATGTATGCATTCTCAGTAGACATTTACTTGTTATTAAACTGCCTCATTAAACATTAAAAGATTTGTCTTTAGAGACACAGGCTGAAGTCTTCCACTTCAAATTTTTATCAAAATGTAACTTTAAAAATTCCTATTTAAAGAAAATAAAATAAAAGACATTCAAACTTTACAGAAATAACCTTTTTTTAAGCATGTGATTGAAATGTCAAAAATTCTGTCAATGAAAAATGTTGTTTTCTTTGAGAGAGACTTATATTGTAGCTTAGTGAATAAAGCATTGAAGCTACATCTTTAGCACTGCTGCTCAACCTTGTTCCCAGTTCTCCAGAAAAATTAGATTTTTTTTTTTGTCTTTGGTTCCTTTTTGGAGATTCAGTTAATATTCTTGGATGAAAGACAGTTGTACTGTGTGTCTTTCTGTCATAATCCTACTTAACATACAGCCATGTAGCTAGCTCTTCATTACTAGGAAACTTATTGGATGTGGACACATTCAGGACCATAATTTCTCTGTCATTTACAGTTTGATGCTGAAAGCACAGAAGAGAGCTAATGGAAGGGAGTGGTGCCTCTCTAGTCCTTCTCTCTATAAGTATGATCTTTTACAGTCGTCATAATTCATTTTGATCCACTGTGCATATTAAAGTGAATAGGAGTCAGATAACAAACTGCTGTAGTTCAGTCCTGCAAGGTGTTTAGCATTCTGTCCCAGTACTATGAAGCTCTTAAGTTCATGGTTTAAAGCCCCACTGAGTCCATGAGGAATCCTGCTG